GCAGCTCTGGGAAGGGACTCTTTGAGTAAGATGGCTACTGTCCTATGAGTGATTCAGCACAAAACTCCCAGGGCACTTCCAGCTCTCCAAACTCCCGAGTCTTCACAAAATTCAGTCCAGTCTGCCCTCCCTCTGCTGGAGCCCAAGGTGAGTGGCTGTAGCTAATTTTGTTCTCTGTCCCAGCACTCTGCACTGTGGAGCTGGCTTGGGATTTTAACCCTGAGGGAGTTGCTCACAGCTAAAACAGCTGCTATATGTGAGCTCCCAGCCCACCCTCTTGTGCCTCCATAGTTCCTGCCAGGTTCAATTTGGTGTTCTTTTTCTGTCCCTGGTAATACGAGTTCTCTCCAGTTGCTTTTCTGTTGGCTTTTCCTGATGATTTGTCTTTATTTTAGTTGCAATTCCAGTTTGGTCCTTGGAGATGGTCTGTGTAGCTTTCATTCACTCTGCCACTGTTTTAGAATCCTCCTTAGTTAATATTCTTCACTACTTATAGTTACAATTTTTTTCTTGTGATAAGAACTTTAAAGATCTAGTCTTAGCAACTTTCAAATATACAATACAGTATTGTTAGCTATAGTCACCATATGGTTACATGATATTGCCAGGACTTAATCTTGTAACCAGAAGTTTGTACCATTTGACCCTCTTCAGTCATTTTGCCCAGCCCCCAACCCATGCCTATAGCAACTATCAGTCTTTGTATCTATGAATTTTTTTTTTTTGTTCCACATATAAGTGAGATCATACAATATTTGTCTTTCTCTCTCTGACTTATTTCATTTAGCATAATGCCCTCAAGATCCATCCATGTTGTCACAAATGGCAGGATTTCCTTCTTTTTATGGCTAAATAATATTCCATTGTATGTGTATGTGTGTAAAGATATGTGTGTGTGTATAGATACATGTTTGGGGAAAAGCAGGTTTATAGTTGTATGTGAAACAGTTTATTCTTGAATTATTTTTTATTTATTAATTATTGTATTATTAATTTGCATTATTTGTCTTCTTCCTATTATTGTTATTATTTCATATCCTTACTTATGATTTATTTTTTAGGTAATGATGGCTAGTAATTTAACCTGCTTTTTTCCACCCTTGTATATTTACATACATATATAATAAAAGATTATATATGTTTTTAAAAATTACTCTTTCTTTGTCTGTTCATCCATCAATAGATAGTAATGTTGCTTCCATGTCTTGGCTATTATAAAAAATGCTTCAGTGAACCTGGGGGTGCATATATCTTTCTTGTTAGTGTTTTTATTTTCTTTGGATAAGTACTCAGAAATAGAGGTACTGGATGTTAGGGCCTGAGACCCTGGCCTGCTGTTGATAGAGGCCATGGTTCAGGACATGACCCTGGAACTGGCTGCTCAGGCACAGACTATAGTTCCTTACACAACCATGACATAGCAAAAGCCTACACGCATGCGCCATGCACCCGCCCTGTGCAGATTATCCTGTAGTCCAAATCTATAAAAGCTGTTAGAAGTATTGAATAAAAGCCCTGGCCAGTTTGAGTCGGTGGTAGAGCGGTAGCTCGCAGACCAAAGAATCGCGGATATGATTCCGGTCAAGGGCATGTACCTCGGTTATGGTTTGTCCCTGGCCCTGGTCAGGGTCATGCAGGAGGCAACCAATCCATCTCTCTTAGGTCACTGTTTCTCTCTCTCCCTCCCCTGTCCCCTCCCTCCCTCCCATTCTATCTTAAGATAAATGGAAAAGTATCCTCAGGTGAGGATTAAAAAGAAAAAGCCTAGTAAAGCATGTAGTTAGGCTATAGATATCTGAAAATTCAAATGTGCTTTTTTTCAAGTAAATGTCACTCTTTTACATTGTACTGGTAAACTCATACCACCACCATTTCTGATCACATCTTAGGCAGTACAGTATAATGGGTAAGAGCTGGGCTTTGGGCTCTGATGGCCTGGGGTAGAACTGTGATCCTACCTCTTATAGCTGTATATCCTTGGGCAATTTCCTTCCTTTATATACCTTGGTTTTCTTTTTTGTACTTACCCCCTTTTGTACTTATGTATTTAATATGGTTCTTAGCACATAGTAAAAATAAAGGTTAGCAATTATTTCAGACTCAGCATTCAGCATCATATTTTTATGACTACCGATGTATCACAAATATATTATTTTTCTGTCAATACTGACATTTTTAAGATTTTCTACATTCTTTTTTTTTATTATTGAATATATTACAGATGTTCCTCATTTTTACCCCCTTGACTCCTTCCTCCCCACTCCCACCCCCCTCCTACCTATTCCCACACTGTTGTCTGTGTCCATTGGTTATGCATATAAGTTATTTGGTTTATTTTTTCCCACCCCCCAACCCCCTTCTCTTTGAGGTTTGTCAGTCTAGCAACCAATTTGTTCTTCTTAATCCCTTCACCTTTTTCACCCATTCCTCCAACCCCCCTACCATCTGGCAACCAACAAAATGTTCTCTGTATCTATGAGAATGTTTCTGTTCTGCCTGTTCATTTTGTTTGTAGATTCCATTGCTGATAGATATGTATTCATTGCTATTTTATTTGTTAATATATTTTATCTTTTTCTTTGAAAAGACCCTTCAACATTTCATATAAGAACAGTTTGGTGGTGATGAACTTCTTTAACATTTTCTTGTCTGGGAAACTCTTTCTTTGGCCATCGATTCTAAATGACAGCTTTGCAGGATAGAGTAATCTTGGTTGTAGGTTCTTGCTTTTCATCACTCTGAATATTTTTTTGCCACTCCCTTCTGGCCTGCAAAGTTTCTTTTGAGAAATCAGCTGACAGTCTTATGGGAACTTCCTTGTAGGTAACTAACTGCTTTTCTCTTGCTGCTTTTAAGATTCTCTCTTTGTCTTGAACCTTTTGCATTTTGATGATGATGTGCCTTGATGTGGGCCTCTTGGGGTTCATCGTGTTTGGGACTCTCTGTGCTTCCTGGACTTGTATGCCTGTTTCCTTCACCAAGTTAGGGAAGTTTTCTGCCATTATTGTTTCAAATAGGTTTTTGATTTCTTGTTCTCTCTCTTCTCCTTCTGGCACCCCCAAGATGCAAGTGTTGGCACGCTTGAAGTGGTCCCAAAGGCTCCTTACACTATCCTCATTATTTTGGATTCTGTTTTCTTTTTGCTGTTCTGATTGGGTGTTTTTTGCTTCCTTATATTCCAAATTAATGGATTGCTTCTTGGCTTTACCTACTCTACTATTGAATCTGTGTAAATTATTCTTTATTTCAGTTAGTACCTCCTTCATTTCTGACTGTGCCTCCTTCATTTCTGACTGGTCCTTTTTAATGCTCTTGAGGCCCTCGCTAAGTTCACTGAGCATCCTTATAAGCAGTATTTTATTTATTTATTTATTTTTTATCCTCACCCGAGGACATTTTTCCATTTTTTGTTCAGGTAGAGTGGGAGGGAGAGAGAGGAACAGAGAGAGAGAGAGAAACATCGATGTGAAAGGAACACATCGAGTGGCTGCCACCGCACAACTGACCAGGGCCGGGGACAAATTGCAACCGAGATACGCGCCCTTAGCGGGAACCAAACCCGGGTCTCTCAGGACCGCAGGCCGACGCTCTAATCGCTGAGCCAAACCGGCCAGGGCTATAAGCAGTATTTTGAACTCAGCATCTGTTAGGTTGCTTATCTCCATTTTGCTTAGTTCTTTTCCTGGAGTTTTGTTCTGTTCTTTCATTTGGGACCTGTTTCTTTGTCTCCTCATTTTGGCTGCCTCCCTGTGTTTCTGTGTATTACTTAACGAGAGGTATGGGGCTAGCTGAGATCAGATGCTGCTTGTTTGAAAGAATTTAGGAAAACCTGAAGCAGGATCCAAGACAGGCCAATCCTATGGTTAAGCAACTGGCAACAGCTTGGGTGGGCCTGAAAGTTGGTGGGGCGGGGCCTCAGGGAATCACCAGGGCAGGGCTACCAGTGTGAGCCAGGTTGCTGGAGTCCCAGATATGGTGGCTGTCTGCAACCCCAGGGAAGGGCTCACCAAAGGAACAAAGGCCTCTGACAGCACGTTTGTCCTGGAGAAAGCCCCCTTTTCAGCCCTCGCTCCAATGCCAAACAGCTCAGTTCTTCCCTGTATGTCTCTGGTGCCCCTCGCACTGCCTCCCCTCCAAGCTTAGAGGGAGAGAGTCCTATAAGTTCGTGTGCTGGTCCTTTAAGAGGAGCTGCCTGGGGCTCCAGCCGCCTCAGCCTCCCTGAGCCTCAGTTTCTGCTGGTTTTCCAGCCAGAAGTTAGGGGGACTTCTCTTCCTGGCACTGGAACCCTGAGCTGGGCACCTGGTGTGGAATGGGGACCCCTCAGTCCTCAGGGAGGACCTTCCCAGCCTAGGTGTCCTCCTGATTTTTATCCATCACACGTGGGTGTGGGACCAGCCCGTCGCCTCCACCCTTCCTACCAGTCTCGATGCAGTTGCTTCTTTAATTCTGTAGTTGTAGGGCTTCCATTCAGCTTGATTTCAGGTGATTTTGAATGATGATGGTTCTGTAGTTTAGTTGTAACTTTGATGTGGTTGTGGGAGGATGCGATACCGCTTTTACCTATGCTGCCATCTTGACTGGAAGTCCCCAAGATTTTCTACATTCTTGAATGTAATTTTTGAAAATCTTGGGGTCAAAATAGCTTTCAGAGGAACATCTCATTAATTTTATCATTGAGGAATGGGAAAATACAGTTATGCAAAACTGTGTCATAGGATCTACCTCTCAGGAATTCAGTATAATTGCATTTATATTGAATATCAAAGAATACCTGTATGCATTTGAGAAAAAGTATAGTCATTGTGTTTCAAAAGATTTATTCATCCACTACGTATTTATGGAGCACCATCCATATGCTGTTCTTGGTGTTGGGGACATCATGGAGAACAGAATCCCTGCTCTCACTGAGCTTACCTTCAGGGAGCAGGTAGAACTTAAAACACCATGTGATTTTTGTAGTGAAATTATAAAATATTAATGCAAGTTATGTTGTTTCACAGTCAGAAATAATTACTTGTGCTCAAGAAGTGAAATTGATGACAAAGCAGTTAGGAGCACTACTTGAACAATTAAAAATGAATGTAAGCTCCAAGACCGCTATCCCAACATCACAAGTCTTTGTAAGTATCTGTCATCAACTTTGATCTTATTTAAGGGTGAATATAGTTTGGGTCCTATAAAATTTAATTTGAAGTAATTATAATTATACAGGGTGGGACAAAAGTAGGTTTACAGTTGTTCACATGGAAAATAATGAATAATACAAGAATAAACTTTTGTGTACTCATAAGTGTAAACCTACTTTTGCCCAACCCCGTATTTAATTGCTAAAAATGTAATATTGGTTTTATACAAGTTGATCCTGCCCCTTGTGGTTATTTTGTAGTAATAGTGTAAGTTGGATGACAGGATTCCCTTGGCAGGCATTTGCTACTAAAGAAAATACAGATATATGTAATAATAACCATGATATCAGCATTGGGTGTAGCAACAAAAATAATCCATAATACGGTGTTGAAAATGTGTTCATAGTACCTGGTTTCTAATTGCCTTCAGCAAAGAGGTGATACAACTTGCAACTTTTCTGAAAAGACATATAATAATCACCTTGATTACCAGGCTGCATTTATGCTGACTTTTCTAATGATCTCAACCATCCTATGGACCAATCTGGTAGCCCTAAGGAGGTATAAGATGCACATGCAGTATTTTATAGAGCATTTTGAGGCTTTGGTAATTTTCCATAATCATTCCCAATATCTGGCTTTAAAAACTGGGAGACCAAAGGCTAAGTTGTTTCATTTATAAGTTTAGTGTGATTAGTATTCTCGTTTGTTCTATAGGTCAGTGATCTTAATACAAGTGAAAAGCATTTTATCTCACTGACCTAAAATCTTTAACTTGCAGCTCACAAGACATATCCCAAAATATATTGCTAGACTGTCCATGCTATTTTGAATCATGTTGTGACACATAGGTCTAATTATGAGTCAAATATAGCTTTTTAAAAAAAAATTTAAAAAGACGTTATTTTCCTTTTAACCTTTTGAGATGAAGCACCCATAAATCTTTCTGCTTTCAGATGTGTCAGGAAAGAAGAATAAAGATTTATTTTCTTCAAAGTATGCTTTTACTTCTAGTTGTAGCCACAGGGTCATTTGTATTGTCTGCTATTTGGAAATAGAGCCAGGTGATGCAACATGTTTGTCTGTTTGTTTGTTTAGTAAATTAACTTTATAATCATATCAAAATAAAATGCTTTGAAATAAAATACAAGTTTATTTTCTCATAATTTATGAGTTCAATTTCTATCTAGCTTCTGTTGTTTAACTTCATGAGACTTTTACTTGTCTTAAGAAATAATTTCTTTACAAATTGTATTTAGTTTTAAGACTATAGTGATTATAATTTTATCAAACAATTATATTTTGGACTTTTATTTTTCTCTTCTTCAGCCCATCTTCATTGCACTTTCCCATCTGTGGATTGGCTTTCAGGATGAAACTGTTTTGATTGGTATTCTCTCTAATTTAACTACAAACCTTGAGCGATTTCTGGGCACCCATGAAATACTGTTTCCTGAAGAAGCAATACAAGATCTTCTTCGTGAAGTGACTGTGAAAACTGATATGTATCGTTTGAAAGAACACATGGGTAATAGAAATCAGCCATTATTTCCTCTTCCTCTTAAAATGACCTCTAGAATAAAGGCACTCTTTTGTTTTAAATTTTTCATATTACATCTTTCTGACAAAGTATTAAACGTTTTCATTTTTAAAAAAATCTTTATTGTTCAGAGTATTACAGATATCCACCCTGTTTTCCTCCATTGATCCCCTCCTACTCCTCCAACCCCCATCCTGCCTTCCCCACACTATTGTCTGTGACCACTGGTTATGCATACATACATATAAGTTCTTTGGTTTATTTCTTCCCCCACCTCCCCAACCCCTTCCTTCTGTGGTTTGTCAGTCTGTTCCCTACTTCTGTGTCTCTGGATCTATTTTGATAGCCAGCTTATTTTGTTCAATATAATTTATAAATAAATGAGATCATGTGGTACCTGTCTTTCTCTGACTGGCTTACATCTTTCTTGATTGTAAGATAATTTTTCATTACCAAAAATTTGGGAAAACAAGAAAATGTAAACTGAATATCATACTATCTAGCAATAACCATTCCTAATGTTATGGTTAACAATAATTTTCTGTGCTTACATGTTTCTCTTGTAGTCTTAGTGATTTTTATTGTAGATTTGCAGTAGAAAAGGATATTAATCCTTGCAATATTTGTTGCAAATAAAGTTCCAATTCTTTGGAATGCTAATTGTCATATATCTACCTAAGATTCATGTTGAAATTTATAAATAAGTAAATTTTATCTTTGTAAAATTTATTGAGCTTATTTTCGATCCTTTAAAAGATTCATTGATTCTTGAAGGCTGTCTTTATCAAATAACTTTTTACTTTTTTTGTCCCTCCTACCTAAAGACAATTTAACATTCATGAGAAATTCCAAAATGGAGCCTGGGATTTGAATTGTTGTCTAAAAATAAAGTAAATAATTTACTCTCCAAATTTCCTTTTCAATTTCTATTTTTGTAAAAGTGGAAAATAAAAATGAAGCAGCAGTTTCCATCATTAAACTATTAGAACACATAAAATTGTTTATTTTTAAGGGTCCTTGAATCAGACTCAAAGACATGCTTCCAGTTAAAGTTTTTCTTACTGATTTTACTTTTATTAAAATAGCATATTTATGCAATTACTAAATTAAATTGAAAAGTTAAAGTCACTTCAGCAATATATATTAAACTTAACCATATGGGCAAGATAATTTACTTGCAACTTAGATTTAGAAGTGTTTCCCACCATACGTCAGAACTGATATTCTCTAGAACACTGTCAAGATACTGCTGCCGTGAATTGGGAGATGCAATGCTTCTGAAAGAATCTAATTTACACTTGCCACATGTCATAACTGTTTGAGACTTTCAGGCACATCAAGAAATACAGAGGGAAGGTTTATTTTCTCCAAAGTATGTATTTACTTCTGCTTGTAGGCACACAGTCATTTGAGGGTCTGCTGTTTAGATCTAGAGCCAGGCACAGAAGTGTAGTAGGATTGAGACAACTAAGAATCTTGGGTAGTAATGTGTTATAAATGCATGTTTTTACTTGTGTAAAACTATTTAGTCAGTTTGCTTATCAAATGTAAAAAGGTTAACCAACCAACACTAGAAAGTTTAAAAGTATGAAGAACAAAAATTGTACACCTTGTTATGAAAATTAAGTTACAAAGAGATAGTTCCTTGACTTTTTCTGTTCAGAATATTCTCACCTGTTTCGAGACACAATAGTCCTAGTATGTAAGCATCATCTTCAAACTATTTGCCACCTGGCATTAAAAGCTGCACAATCTTGGATGAAGTTGATCTATCTCTGTTTTAGTCACATAGCCGCCAGTTTCTTTTGCTTATGTCCTGGGGTTGTTTACTCTTCTCATTGAATAAAGTGTTTCTTGTCCTCCTTTCACTTTAGAAGAAAGAGTACATCTGGTGGATTTCAGAAAACAAGAATGGCTTTTCCCAGAAACAACAGCCAATTTTGATAAATTGTTAATTCAGTATCGGGGATTTTGTGGTTATACACTTGCTACAACAGATGGTCTTCTCCTTCCAGGTATATAATTGGAAATAATGTTGCTCCCACTTCCTTACTTTTTTTCTTTAAATGAAATGCTGTCATTGTCACTCACTTTTTAAAACTTTATGGGATCTGATGGTGAACTAGGAAAGGAGCTACAAAGATGATCCAGACAAAGTGTTTATCTCTGATATACTCACAGTGTAATCTGGTAGACTGACATAAATATGAAATTATAATGCAAGTGATTGAATGTGTACATAATATAATATGGGTGCTGTAATATAATAAATGGGGGCTGACTCATATGTCCAGCGATGGACTGCAGAAATATTACATGACATTACTAAAATGCGTCATCCTCCAAAGTAATTACTTTAAAGAGTAACAGTAATTTGACTGATATGTTTATTTAAAAGTATCCTTTGTCACTTTGTGGTTACATTCCACTAACATAGATCAGGATTTCTGTACAAGGCAGATACCATTAAGTAAATGGCCAATTTCTTATCAAGTAAAATTTATCTTGATATTACCAGAGCTTCTCTAAAACAAACAGTAAATCAGAAATAGAGATGAAATAACTTATTATCCAAAAAGTCCTGTGTGAATTAGGCTAGGGCTAGAATGAAAACAGTTTGACCAGTTCGTGTCTTATTTCCCTTATATCATGAAGCTCCTTCTTCCTTTTCTTCTTCCTTATTTCTTTTGTTATATTTCACAGTTGGGTATTAATTTTTTCTTACAAATACTTACTGGGATTGTGTATATACAGACTAAAGAACACACAAATTGACTCGTTTTTATGGTACTGGATTTTCCATATGGGATCAACAAAAGGTTTACCATGGGGAACTGAGAAAATAGTTTTCTGAGACCCCTGTGAGGGTCATTGATTCTGGGGAGAAAAACATCAAGATCCATGAGAAGTAGAGCAACAGAATGTAGATAGATGGTTTCTTTCTTCTCTTTTGCTTTCCTTTCTCCCTCCATCCCTCCCTTTGAGTCATGAGAGACACAAACACGGAGAAACACGGCTGTGTGGTGACATGGTGTGTTGGGAAAAGCTATGGGCTAGGATTCAAGGAGTCTGGTTTCTAGTCCCGGTTGTACCATTAGTGAACTCAGTAATCTTCAGCAAATATTGTGGACCTCAGTTTCCAAGTCAGGAAAAGAAGAAAGGCCAACTAGGAGGCCTGTTTGGTCCCTTCCATCTTCCACAAACTGTGATTCTAAGAAAGGGAAAATAGAAAAGTTGAGGGCTGTGGGGCTTGGGTTTTAGAATCCTCTCTGAGTAAGCTAGTCCTGACTACGTTATTTCTGCTTACTACATTATTTCTACTCACTACAATATTTTCTGAGCAGCAGCAACCTGCACTGCCTCAGAGGAATTCTGTAGCACTTCCCTCCTTCCACAAGCATTAAATCCAGTCATGGTCCCTGTCAGATGACCGCACTGACTTCATTGCCTACCACTCTCTCCCTTGCTCACTACTCCAGCCCACTGGCCTTATTATTCTTGAGCAGGCTAAGTTCATTTTCACCTCAGGGCCTTTGCGCTTGCTATTCCCTCTACTTGGAAAGCTCCATCCCCCAGACAGCTACATATATTCCCTCACATTTTATTCAGTCTTCCCTGATATCCAATTGAAAATATCAACCTCATCTGTTTTCTTTTTACTATGTGTTGAACCTGCTTTATTTGGTTTTTCTTCTGTAGCACTGATTTACTCTCTAGCCTAGGGTATAACTGTTGATTTGGTGAGAACAGAGAGCTTGTTTTCTTCTGTATCCTCAGTGCCAAGAACAGGATCAATAAATATTTAAGTAAATGAAAGAACAAATAAGTAAGACAGTATTACTATTTTTGACATAACTCCCACAAACTATGTGGTTATTTAATAATCCATATTTTATGTAGTATCTTTTCACAGTGTGAAATACTTTCTAACATGTAAACTTATATGTTGGAAAAGATGTCTTATTTTTGTAGTTCTTATAGAATTATTTTTTAAAAATGCTTATATGGTAGTTAGTTTTGTTTAAGGAGAATTGAGAAACCTGCTTCTCATAAAAGAGTTTTAGACACCTTGTATCTGGATATGTAAAATAATGCTTTAAAATAAAAGCGTATAAAATTAATTTCATATTAATTTCACATAAACTATAACTTAACAAAATATATACTTTAAAATTGCTTATTGAAACATTTTAGCAAAATGAAAACATAATAAAAATGGAGTATACAGGAAATGGTTCTGTGGGTGTATTACAAACACAGAATCGCTAGTTCATTACTCAGTCAATTCCTTTTCTTAATTTTCAGGAAATCCAGCAATTGGAATTTTGAAACATAAAGAAAAGTATTATACTTTCAATAGCAGAAGTGCTGCATATTCATTTGCAGAAAACCCTGAACATTATATTAATTTAATCACAGAAAAGGCCAAAAAAAATGCAGAATTAATTCAGCTGCTGGAACTTCATCAACAGTTTGAAACCCTCATTCCATGTTCTGAGGTAAGCAGAGTGGATATTTTAAGAATTTTTGACATTTAAGCCCTGGCCGGTGTGGCTTAGTTGGTTGAAGTGTTGTCGCGTACACCTAAAGGTTGCAGGGTTGACTCCTGGTCAGGGCACATACCCAGGTTGTAGGTTCGATACTGCTTGGGGCATATGAGAAGGCAACTAGTAGATGTTTCTATTTCTCATCAATCTCTCTCTCTCTCTCTTTTCCTCTCTCTCTCCCCTCCCTTCTCTCTATAAAAAATCAATAAGCATGCCCTCAGGTGAGGATTTAAAAAAAGAATTTATGACATTTAAAAACATAGTTAATTTAAAAGTTATATTTTTCTTGTTCCCAAACCCAGGGTCAGATAAGGGTCTGTACAGGTTATCTGAACAGAATTTACATCTGAAGATGGAAACTAAGGAAATCCTCACAGAATAGTGAAAAATAGACAAGGAGTCAAACGGATGAATTAGACTATAAAAGTCTTAAAAAGAAAGACTACATTTAGATTCATAATTGAAACTACAGTATTTTCTTATCTAAAATTGAAGGAGCTCAGCACAGATAACGTATTAAGAACTTATACTCAGAGTTGTAAAAGAATTTAACGTGTAAATTGCAAGTTTGAAAGGCTACACAATGAGGCTACACAAGCCTGAAGGTGTGTTGGTGCCTATTCATTAATTCATTCAATAAATATTTACTGAGCCCCTTAACTGTGTACCAGGTACTATCTTGGCACCGGGAATTTGGCAGTGTACAAAACAAAACAAAACTCTGCCTGTATGGAGCTCCCATTCTACTGCTATATATATTCTCATTTTCTTTCTCTTTGTCTCTCATTTTTATTGTTCACCTTTTCATTATTCTTTCTGTCTCTTCTCTTGTTCAGTTCCTCTCTTTTAAACTCACTAAAATAAAAACCTGAAATAACATAGTTTAAAATGTTTTTATTTTTTCTTATTTATCAACCTTTTGAGTATGAAGCAGGTGGGTTTGTGTACAACTGACCAGGTCAGTAGGAACCCAAGCAGTGACTGGTAAGAAGTTGGTCTGGCTGGTGACAGTGAGGCACAGAGGGTGGTCTGATCACTTGGGCAAGGAACCTGGCAACAAGCTAAGGATAAAGTGGTTGGGGAGTGGTGCAGGGGCTGCTGTGGTGGTCAAACCCTGGACAGTTCAGTTGGCACTCTTATTCTGACAGAGTGCCACTCTGTCTATTAATGTGACACTCTTTTTGAAAGAGGAAGTCTCCAGAGCATTCTAGGTTCCTCCCGATGTGGAAAGAGACTGGTATATTTAGTATCCTTCTGTGTGAGGGCCAAATGGTAGTCCTACAATTTTTGACTCAGCTGAGACATTACTCTCAAAATGATTGGACCAATTTAACTTTAGTCCATGAGACTTGTCACTTACCCATAATCTTGCTAGCACTTCTATTACCTGGGTTAATAATTTTTGCCAATGTGATGAATTTAAAATGGTATATCATTATTGTGTTATTGTACATTATTCTGATAGTGAATTTCAACATTTCTTTTTAATTTTTTTTTCATTACTAATTTTTTTAGAGAACATCGATTGGCTGCCTCCTGCATGCCCCACAATGGGGATCGGGCCCAACAACCTGGGCATGTGCCCGACTGGGAACTGAACCAGTGACCTCTTGGTGCATAGGTCAATGCTCAAACACTGAGCCACACCGGCTGGGCAGCATTTCTTATTATATCTATTACTCATTCAGATTTCGCTTTCAATACATTGACTATTTACAACTTTTGCCAGTTTTTTCTTTTCTATACTACTTTCTATGTTTAGTTAGCAGAAATTTCTTATCTATTATAGGTATGAATTTTTTATCAGTTGTAAAAGTTGCAGTGTTTTTGCCACATCTGTCACTTCTCGGTGAGCTTTGTCAGTTGAGTTGTTCATTGAAGACACATTTTTAATTTTCTTTTTTTTTAAATCCTCACCCAAGGATATTTTTCTATTTATCTTCAGATAGAGTGGGAGGGAATAAGGGAGGAAGAGAAAGAGAAACATCAATATGAAAGAACCACACGACTGGTTGCCTCCTGCACAACTGCAACCAGGGCTGGGGACGAACCACAGCTGAGGTATGTGCCCTTGGCCAGAATCGAAGCCGGGACTCTTTGGTCTGTGGGCCTAGGCTCTAACCACTGAGCAAAACCGACCAGGGCCACATCTTTAATTTTAATGTAATCATATATCTATTAAATTTTCTCTTTAAAGATTGTGCCTTTTAAAGTATTGTTTTAGAAATCTATCAGTCTTGATACTATTGATTTATATTTTGTTCTTTTTAAAGTTATTATTCACATTTAAGTCGTTAGTCCTTTTAGAAAAAATAAAGAGTTCTAACTTTATTTTTATTTATGTAGTATGCCAGCTTTCCTAACTTCATTTACTAATAATGTATGGTTTTCCCACTAAATCTGATGCTACCTCCCTTGTATTAGCAATTCTCATATGAAATGGGTTTGTTTCTAGGCTTTCAATCTTGTTCTATTGGCCTATTTGTTTATCTCTATGCTGAGACCATACTGTTCTAATTACTATTGCTTTGTAATATATTTTATTATCTGATAGGGCAAGCCCTTCATGGATCTTTTCATGTCCATGTAAATTTTTTAATGAATTTCCCAACTCCCTCATCCCCAATAATCTTTCTGGATTTTAACTGGTATTACATTAAAATAATATAATAATTTGTGGGGGTATTTATATGTCTATTATATTGGGTTGTCCCATCCATAAAAAAGTTACTTTTTTCCACTTAGTATTTTTTTTTTTACCATTAGTAGTTTCATTAATTATGCCTTAATAAAACTTAATGGTTTTATTTGTATTTTATTCTCTGCCTACTTCTAAAACAGTGAGATAACTTTTTATTTAAAGCACATATACCAAAAGGCTAAAAAGAAGATACTACACAAGGGAGATATGTCTCACTCATTTTAGATAAATAACTGACTTTTAATTGTATAATATTTATACAAACCAAAGGATATGTAAAATGTATCACTATATAAAAGCAATGAAAACAAGCATCTGTGTATCCACCACTTAAAACAAGTATCTCAGAGAACCCTGTGTATCCCATTCTTTTCTCCACAGTAGTAACTACTTCATGAATTTGATGTTATTAATTCCTTGTCTTTTTAGTTTTTGCCATTAGTGTTTGCATTCCTAAACAATGTATTTCTGTGAAATTACTGTCTTTAGCCCAATTTTTTATACTAATTCATTATTAGATATATGTTTTGCAGGTATGTTCTTTCATTGAGTGACTTATCTTTTTCTTTCTTTTTATTAATTCATTTTTTTTACAGATGTCCCTCCTTTCCCCCTCATTGACACCCTCCACCCAGCTCCCATTCCCACCCCACCCCCACTCCACCATTGTGCTTTATCTTTTTATTTTCTTTATGGTGTCTTTTGATAAAAGTTTCTCATTTTAATGTGTAATTTATCACTTTATCTTTATGTCATGTTTAAGAAATAATCATGTATCCTTAGATGATAAAAATATTCTCCTAAATTGTTCTTTTAAATATAAATTTGCCTTTTACACTAGAATTTTTAATCACTTGGATTTGATTTTTGTGTCTAGTGGGAGATGAAGATTTAATTTTAATATTTTTTTCCATTTGAATAGGAAATTGTCCCAGACTGTATTTTCAATACTCTCTCCTTTCCCCACTGGGTCTTATATACACAGGCTTATTTTTTTAGGCTCTCGATTCTGTTCAAATATTCAATTTTTTAAAAATTCCTATATCTTACTACAACTTTATAAGTCTTAATATTTGGTAGAGTAAGTTGTTTTGCCCTTTTTTCTCTAAACAATCTTGACTATACTTGACTCTTTACTTTTCATATAAATTTGAGAATTACACGGTCAGGTTACAATATAGAAAACCCTGAAAGGGTTATGAATTTGCTTGTGTATAGACAAGATTTGTTTGATCTTGCTATCACTTATTTATAACTTACAGAGTTGTAAGGTAGCTTAAAGACAATGAGAAGCTAGTAATGAATAACCAGATGGTGTGCTATATGTAAACAATGCATAGTTTTCCATTAAAGAATAATTTACCCGCCCTGGCCGGTTTGGCTCAGCGGTTAGAGCGTCCGCCTGTGGTCCGGAGAGACCCGGGTTCGGTTCCCGCTAAGGGCATGTACCTCGGTTGCAGTTTGTCCCCGGCCCTGGTTGGTCCTGTGGGTGGCAGCCACTCGATGTGTCCCTTTCACATCGATGTTTCCCTCTCTCTCTCTTCCTCTCTCTCCCTCCCACTCTGTCTGTACAAAAAAAAAAAAAGAATAATTTACCCTATATATCTGGTCTTGTTTTTCTCGTTCTTTCTATTTAATTTCCAGCTGTTCTTCAGTGACCTTCAATACCCATGCAAGTAAGGTTTCTCCCTCCAATGCTGTAGTCCTTATTATTATTTACTTGCCATTTACTTGTGTGGTATAATGTCATTTTCAGCATGTTTTTTAAATCTACCTCACTATATCATAAGTTTATTTTGAAGGTAAAAATTGTATCTCATGTTAAATGGTAGGCATTCATATCTGTTGCTTGACTTGGGGGGGCGGAGTTAATCTTTTCTCTCTCCTTTGTGCTATAACTGAGCTCCTTAAACCTCTGTCACTCCTCCCACAACTTCATATCTAGCATAATTTTATCTTGTTTAGCATGGAATTACTGAATACTTAATATGTAAATAGTAATAGTGAGTTAAAAATTAACATAGTCAACTAAAAAAACCTTCTTGGAGAATAATCTGGCTATCTATGCCTAGTTTGAGTTTAAGATATAGCCCAAAGGTGTTATGATACTTTAAATAAATATGATTTATACCTAATATTTAATAGCTATTTTAAACTTCCATCCATTTCCAACAAGGTATTGCTTATGCTACCAATTGTGAAAGTCTACGAGTGGGCATTTGACTTGGCAATGAGTGATGTTATGTTTTCCCCTTCCAAAATCCACCTCCTACATTAAATTAGCAAAATCAGGCACAAAGTCACAATGCCCTGGAAGATAAATTACATATATCTTACTAATGATGAGCTTATTTTCTCTGCTGGTATTTATAAGTATATGCCATAATAAAAAATTCTTGTTTTTCTAATTTTTTGTCAGTTTTAGCTGAACTTTATTAGATATCTGTAAATAATGTTTATTTTTTTACAGATATTAATTATAAAACTCCATTTCTTTAGATAAAAGTTATTACCAAACATATAAAACCAATTACAAAGAGTGAAACTGGCACACAGACGGATACACACATATTGCCACCAACAATTGTGAGATCATATGACTGGAATGAATGGGAATTAAGAAGAAAAGCTATAAAATTGGTTTGTAACAATATTTTCTAAAATTACTTATATGTTGGATAATTTTAACATGTTGTTTCTCATAGAGTTATTTTTATAAAATAGTAAGTTGTACAAAATTCCTTGCTAACAAAAATAATTAGTGTAATTTATAATTTGCCAGCTTTACCCTGTAAGATTGTCTTCTAATTTTAAGCATATGCAGAAATACAAAGCATGGAAATACTCTCAAATTATACTAGCCGTTAACTAGAACAATGATTCTCTCTCTCTCTCTCTCTCTCTCCATTTCTCTGTTGATCTATATAATAGTTTTAATTTACTGTCCTAGTATTTAAAACACTCCTGCACTGGCCTGTATGGCTCAGTTGGCTGGAGCATCGTCCCATGCACTGGAAGGTCCTGGGTTTGATCCCAGGTCGGAGTGTATGCAGGAGGCAACTGATTGTTTCTCAACTCCCTCTCCCTTCCTCTCTCTCTAAAAATCAATAAAAACACATTAAAAAAATAAAGCACTCCCAATTTTCTGTAATCATTTTAAATATACCCTTTTTTTTCTTTGGACTTTTTTGAGGAGCAGAATGTTACCTCTGTTATATCATAAATATTGTCCCCTCTTATGGTGAACATGTCCTCTCCAGACACTGGGCTCCCTTGTCCTGATTTTCATTCATCTTAATCACAGTAGGTGCCTCACACTAAAGCCTGCCTTTGAAACTCTCATCCCTATCCGACTCAGTGGAATTCCTCCCACTCACCCTATTGAAATGTCTTGTCATTTTAAACAACAATTAATAGTACGGAGACAACAAATACTTCGTATGTATAGCTTTTTCTTAGTATATTTTATTTATCTCTTTAACTGAAATCAGGTGTGGAAATGAACACTACCAAATGAGAACAGAGGCTGTTTATTCAGAGCTTGCTATAGTAAGGGTGTCAGCCACCATCTTACTTGTCTTTGTCAGAGACTCAAGGGCAGGGGGAAGGGCAGGAAAACCTTGCAGGGGAGGGCCTCAGTTACCCTCTGATTGGAGGTTGTTGACATGGGGAAATTGGAGGCGGGCATCTTATGTGATTGATTTGGTGAGCATATTTGGCTTTCTCTAGTTGGTCCTGAGTTAGAGGGTAGGGTGGGCACCCAAATAGCAAAGTCCAAATAGAGAAGTCTGCCAGGTCCTGACTATCTGGGCCAAGATTTCTACAGCTACAGAGGTGATGGTATGGCTCAGTGGTTGAGCGTCAACCCATGGACCAAGAGGTTGCTGCTTCAATTCCCGGTCAGGACACATGCCCAAGTTGTGGGCCCGATCCCCAGTGGGGGGCATGCAGGAGGTGGCCAGTCGATGTTCTCTCTCATCGATGTTTCTCTCTCTCTCTCTCCTTTCCTCTCTCTCTAAAATCAATAAAGAAGAAAATAAAAGATTTTTTTAAATGCCCATGAAAGAAAGTATGAGGAACTTAAAAATTAAAAATGTGAGGGAAGGGGAGGAGAGAAAGGAGCAAAGATGAAGTATGCTGAAATCACATGCTTTCCCCAAGCATATTTTGACTATATTATAAAAAAGAATTTTTTAAAGTGATATCATTCTTAGAGGACTAACTGAGAATGTCATTAGAAATACGAGTGTTAGAACACTGTCAAATTCATGGTGGCAGATACGAGTGTTTCCAAATGCATATTTTATCATTGGCAACTAAAGCAATTGTTTTCCTAAAGTGACAGAGTCATTTTATTTACTTCCAATAAACATCTGCCAAATAAATAAGGCTCAAAAATCATAGTTTGTTGTCAAGTAAAAATGATATTCTACTGAGTGAGGGAGGCTAGCTCAGCTCACAATTTAATCATGTAAACGTTTTCTTTCTTTATCTTTATTGTTGAAAGTACTACAGATATCCTTCCTTTTCCCCTCATTGACAGCCTCCTTCCTTATCCCAACCTCTCCCCCAATGCCCACCTTCACTGCACTATTGTCTGTGTCCATTGGTTATGCCTATATGCATATAAATGCTTTGGTTTATCTCTTCCTGCCTCCTCCCCCACTTCGCTCTCAGGTTTGTCAGTCTGTTCTCTGCTTCCATTTCTCTGGATCTATTCTGTTCATCAATTTAATTTGTTCATTATATTCCACAAATAAGTGAGATCATGTGATACTTGTCTTTCTCTTACTGGCTCATTTCACTTAGCATAACACTCTCTAGGTCCCTCCATGTTGTCTCAAAGGATAAGAAATCTTTCTTTCTTATAGCTGCATAGTATTCCATTGTGTATATGTACCACAGCTTTTTTATCCACTCATCTACTGAGGGATACTTGGATTGTTTCCAGATCTTAGCAATTGTGAATAGTGCTGCTGTGAACATAGGGGTACATATATTCTTTCTCATTGCTGTTTCAGGCTTCTTGGGATATATTCCTCGAAGTGGGATCACTGGGTCAAATGGCAGTTCAATTTTTAATTTTTTTGAGGAAACACCATATTGTTTTCCATAGTGGCTGCACCAGTCTGCATTTCCACCAGCAATGTACTAGAGTCCCCTTTTCTCCACACCCTCGCCAACACTTGTTGTTTGATGATTTGTTGATGGCAGCCATTCTGGCAGGTGTATCTCTTTGATAATTAATGATGTTGAGCATTTTTTATATATCTCTTGGCCATTTGTATGTCCTTTTTGGAGAATTGTCTATTCAGGTCCTCTGCCCATTTTTTAATTGGGTTGTTTATCTTCCTTTTATTGAGGTGTACGAATACTCTATATCTTTTGGACATTAACCCCTTATCTGATGTATCATTGGCAAATATGTTCTTCCATATAATGGGTTCCCTTTTTATTTTGATTCTGGTTTCTTTTGCTGAGCATAAGCTTTTTAGTTTGATGTAGCCCCATTTATTGATTTTTTTCCTTTGTTTCTCTTACTCTAGGCGATGTATTGGTGAAAAGTCTGTTACTTGTGATGTTTGAGATTTTGCTGCCTACATTTTCTTCTAGAATTTTTATGGTTTCACAGGTTTAACCATAAAACATTTAGAGACATTTAAGTCTTTAATCCGTTTTGAGTTTATTCTTGTGTGTGGGGTAACGTGGTGGTCTAGTTTCATTTTTTTTTTTTTTTTTTGCATATACCTGTCCAATTTTCCCAGCACCAGTTGTTGAAGAAACTGTCTTTACTCCATTGTATGCTCTTGCCTCCTTTGTCAAATATTAATTAAGCATAATGTCTTGGGTCGATATCTGGGTTCTCTTTTCTGTTCCATTGATGTCTATGCCTGTTCTTGTGCCAGTACCAGGATGTTTTGATCACAGTGGCTTTGAAATATAACCTTAAATCCAGTATTGTGATTCTCTCCAACTTTGTTCTTCTTTTTCAAGATTGCTGTGGCTATTCGGGGTCTTTTTTTGGTTCCATATAAACTTTTGGAGTATTTATTCTAGATTTGTGAAATATGCTGTTGGTATTTTAATAGGGATTGCATTCAATCTGTAGATTGCTTTAGGTAGTATTGACATTTTAATAATGTTGATCATTCCAATCTATGAACATGGTATATGCTTCCACTTTTTTATATCTTTCTCTATTTCTTTTTTTAATGTCCTGTAGTTTTCTGAGAACAGGTCTTTTACCTACTTGGCTAAGTTTATTCCTAGGTATCTTAATTTTTATTTATTTATTTTATCCTCAGCCGAGGATATTTTTCCATTTATCTTCAAATAAAGTGGGAGGAAGGGAGGGAGGGAGAGAGACGAACAGAGACAAACATCGATGTGAGAGACACACAGTGATTGGTTGCCTCCCATATGACCCAGACCAGGCCTGGGGATGAGCCACCATAACTGAGGTACATGCTCTTGATCGGAATTGAACACATGACTCATCAGTCTGCAAGCTGACCCTCTAACTGCTGAGTCAAACCAGCCTGGGCTATCTTAAATTTTTTTGATGCAATGGCAAGTAGGATTTTTTTTTTAGTTTCTCTTTCTGACTGTTCATTATTGATGTATAAAAATGCCATTGATTTCTGGATGTTAATTTTGTATCCTCCTACTTTGCCAAATTTATTTATTAAATCTAGTAGTTTTTTTGGTGGTCTTCAGGATTTTCTATGTACAATATCATGTTATCTGTGAATAATGACAGTTTCACTTCCTCCTTTCCAATTTGGATGTCTTTTATTTTTTCTTCTTCTCTGATCATTGTGGCTAAGACTTAGTACTATGTTGAATAAGAGTGGCAAAAGCGGACATCCCGGTCTTGTTCCTGTTCTTAAAGGAAAAGCTTTTATTTTTTTGCCCAGTCAGTATGATGTTGGCTGTAGGTTTTTCATATACGGGCTCTATTATGCTGAGGTATGAGCCATCTGTTCCCACTTTGCTGAGCATTTTTATCAAAAATGGGTGTTGCATTTTGTCAAATGCTTTCCAGCATCATATGATTTTCATCTTTCATTTTGTTTATATGGTGTATCACATTTATTGATTTGCAAATATTGCATCCCTGGGATAAATCCCACTTGGTCGTGGTGAATAATTTTTTTAAATATATTACTGAATCTGATTTGCTACTATTTTGTTGAGGATTTTAGTGTCTATGTTCATCAGGGATATCAGCCTGTAATTTTCTTTCTTTGTGGTGTCTTTAGTTTTGGAATTAGGATTATGCTGGCCTCATAAAAAGATCTTGGAAGTCTTTCTTCTTGAATTTTTTTTGGAACAGTTTGAGGAAAATAGGTGTTAGTTCTTCTTTGAATGTTCAGTAGAACTCCCCTGTGAAGCCTTCCGGACCAGGGTTTTTGTTTAATGGGAGTTTATTGATTACTGCTTCAATTTCTTTGTTTTTTGTTTTTTTTTATCCTCACCTGAGGATATTTTTCCACTTTTTGTACAGATAGAGTGGGAGGGAAAGAGAGGAAGGGAGAGAGAGAGAGAAACATCGATGTGAAGGGACACATCGAGTGGCTGCCACCCGCACGACCAACCAGGGCCGGGGACAAACTGCAACCGAAGTACGTGCCCTTAGCGGGAACCGAACCCGGGTCTCTCCGGACCGCAGGTCGACGCTTTAACTGCTGAGCCAAACTGGCCAGGGCAACTGCTTTAATTTCTTTAGTTGTTATTGGTCTGTTCAGGTTTTCTGACTTTCTGTTTGAGTTTTGGAAGACTGCATGATTCTTGGAATTTGTCCAATTTGCCTAGGTTTTCCAATTTGTTGGCATATAATTGTTCAGAGTATTTTCTTACAATCATTTGTATTTCTGTGGTGTCAGTTGTTACTTCACCTCTTTCATTTCGGATATTATTTATTTGAGTCCTCTCTTTCTGCTTCTTGGTGAGTCTGGCTAAAGATTGAGCAATCTTGTTTATCATTTCAAAGAACCAGTTTTTGGTTTCATTAATCTTTTGTATTATCTTCTTGGCCTCTATGTCATTTATTTCTGCTCTGATCTTTATTATTTCTTTCCTTCTACTAACTCTGTGTTTTTCTTTTTGTTCTCTTTCTAAATCTTTAAGTTGTGGAGTTAGATAATTTAATAGAAATTTTTCTTCTTTCTTATGTTAGGCCTGTAATGCTATGAACTTCCCTCTCAGGACTGCTTTTGCTGTGTCCTATAGATTTTGTGGTGTTGTGCATTCATTTTCATTAGTTTCCAGGAAGTTTTTTATTTCTTTATCTAATTGGTAACCCATTCATTGTTTAATGACATGCTATTTAGCCTCCATGTGTTTGAATGTTTTTATTATAATTGATTTCCAGTTTCATGCCATTGTGATCTGAGAAGATGCTTGATATGATTTCAAACTTCTTGAACTTGTAGAGACTTAGTTTGTGTCCTAACATGTGGTCTATCTTTGAGAATGTCCTTTGTGTACTTGAGAAGAATGTATATTTTTCAACTTTGTGGTGAAATATTCTGTAAATATCAATGAAATACAGTTGACCTAGTGCATCATTTAGGGTTTGTTTCCTTAATTTTTGTCTAGAAGATGTATCCAGTGATATCAATGGGGTCTTAAAGTCCCCTGTTATGATTGTATTGCTGTGTATCTCTCCCTTGAAGTCCTCCAGAAATTTTTTGATAAATTTTGGTGCTTCTATATTGGGCGCATATATGTTTATTATTATTTTTTAAATATACTTAAAAAATCATCTTGGGGGGGGCATTGATATGAGAGAGATACATCGATCGGTTGCCTCCTGCATGCACCCTGACTGAGAATTGAACCTGCAATCGGGGTACATATCCTGACCAGGAATTGAATCTGAGACCTTCTGGTGCACAGGAAGATGCCTGAACCAACTGAGCCACACTGGTCAGTGCACTCTTATTCTTTTCATAAGCTCCTTCTTGCTTCTCAGCCTGTTAATCTATTTAGCTTCATGTTTACTAGTAATTCACAAAAGAATGAGCAAAATGTAGTATAATGTAAAATATAATCTGAAAACAACAGAGCTTTTTATATTAAAAGGCTTAAGAGAAACCCATTTAAACAAAATAATGGAACTCTTTTTGTCTTAAAAAAATAAACCAATACCTCAAAAAATTAAAAATTGAACTTCCATTTGACCCAATGATCCCACTTCTAGGAATATACCCTAAGAAGCCTGAAACACCAATCAGGAAGAATATATGTACCCCCATGTTCATAGCAGCACTATTTACAATAGCTAAGATCTGGAAACAGCCCAACTGTCCATCAGTAGACGAATGGATAAAAAAGCTGTGGTACATATACACAATGGAATACTATGCAGCTGTAAGAAAGAAAGATCTCTTATCCTTTGAGACGACATGGAGGGACCTGGAAAGTATTATCCTAAGTGAAATAAGCAGAAAAAGACAAATACCACATGATCTCACTTATATACGGAATATAATGAACATAACAGTCTGAGGAATACAGTAGACACAGAAACATGGAAGTAGGGTACAGACTGACATCCCTCAGAAGAGGGGGTGGGGGAGTGGGAAGAGATAAACCACAGAACTTATATGCATGTATGCATGACCAATGGACATGGACAACTAAGCCGGGGAGGGGACGGGGCGGGGGTGGGTTGGGGAGGGGGGTGCCAATGGGGTAAAAAAGGTGAAATATCTGTAACAAAAATAAATAAATAAATAAATAATTAAAAAAAGAAAGAAATAACTACTCAAATACAAAAAAATAAAATAAAATTATTTGAATCTGAAAAAAAAAAAATAAACCAAGAGTGATAGAAAAATCCAAGTTGTATGAATCTCAACGTATAGTAATGAAGGAATTAGGAGATTATATCAACAAATAATTGAGCTCACTGTAAGTTTGAACCTCTATGTTCTTTGTTGGGGTCCAATTTCATTATTTAATATATTTTCCTACTTCACAGCAAAGGATATTTTCTATTACATTCTAGATTTTCTAATGTTCTAATATTTTGTAGAAAAATGCTATGTTGTAAAACTAATTTTGATTAAGAAAATAATAGGCAGATGTTAACTGGTACCTGATAATATTTTATATTATTTGTTTTTAGAGAAATGTTAATTCCTGTGTGTTCTCTTTCTACTTTAGGCCAATTTGCGTCAGAAAGTAACTCATTCGGTACAGACTGATCTTAGTCACATGAGAAGAGAAAATTATTCGCAAGTGTATCCGACAAGGAACGCTGCCACGCAGTCCATGAGGGAAGGCAGCACTGCCGTGCCCCGGCCTCAGATTTACATAGCTGGTCTCCGCGGTGGGCAGACCAAAACCACATACGGGGTCAAGGTGAACCTCACTAGAGCTGTTGATGAAACCTAGTTAGAGACCATATTTTAAAAGTAGTTACCACCAAACTATGAACAATGGCAAAAATTTAAAAGTATTCTTGCATCCATGAAATTTAGCTAATGGTGTGGTGCTGGCGCATTCATTGGTTGTGTGGATTTTTTTGGAAAAACTAACAGTGGTTTTCTGTGACACATTTTTCATTCTATTAAAATTGAAAAGTAAAACTGGATTCATTCATTTTTTGTTGTTGTTAGAAAAAGTTAGGCAGCCCTGGCCGGTTTGGCTCAGCAGTTGGAGCGTCGACCTGCAGACCAGAGAGTCCTGGATTCAGTTCCCGCTAAGGGCATGTACCAAAAAAAAAAAAAGAAAGAAAGAAAAAGTTAGGCAGCATTAAGACTGAAATTGTGATGCCATTTAGATATTAATATAATATTATTATGCCTAGGATAGAAGTTTATTTCTACAATCATATTTAGTGTTAAACATTAAAAATTTTAAATCTAGTTAATATTTTCAGCCTCATTAGCTGTTCAATGTTAACACAGATTAAATTGATGTACAGTTATCCCCCTTTTTTGCCAGTTCACTTTCCACTGTTTCAGTGACACTCTGTCAATCATGATCCAAAAATATTTATTAGAAAATTCAGAAATAAAAAGTAAGTCTTAAATTGTATGCCACTCCAAGTAGCATGATGAAATCTTATGCCGTCCTCCTCCATCCCACCCGGATATGCATCAGTCCTTTGTCCAGCGTAGCCTCACTGTACCTACAGTTCAATAAGATATTTTGAGAGAAAGGGAGACCACATTGACATGACTTTTATTATAGTGTATTGTTATAATCATTTTATTACTAGTTATTGTTATTAATCTCTCACTGTGCCTAATTTATAAATTAAACTTTATTATTGGTGGTATGTATAGAAAAAACAAAGTATATAGAGAGATCAGTACTATCCTCGGTTTCGGACATCCTCTGGGAATGCTGGACCGCATCCCCTGAGGATAAGGGGCAGGGACTACAGTATAGCCAAACCTCGCTATTGGGAACAATTAGAGCAAAGGTCCACATGATATTTTTTAGCCTGAAAATTTTACATAAAATCTGGATTTCTGGACCTGTGAAAAAAATAATAAAATTATCTGGCAACACTTGGCTACCATTCCTGTAAGTAGTAGCTGTGCCCTTTAACAGGGCAGGCACTTCTAGTTCCAATTCCTGCTGTCCTACAGGTCTCCCACTTCTTTGCCTTGTTTGCTTGACCCCTTGGGCAGTTGTGCTTAGGTCCTCTGTGAATTACTGATAGATAAATTTTAGAGCTGTCATGTTATTGTCTTACATACTTCTAATATCAACTCATAGATAATAAAGACTTCCAGGTGGAGGGACTGTTAAATCTGCTTTAATAACTGAAGGGTCATTTATCTTTAGCATATTATTTTCTACCTAAGTGACTTTTACTAAGTCACTTAGTATAATTTGTTTTCTATGTAGGTTAAACGTTATTTACAATATAATATGCTTCAAAATCCATTTTCCACAGATTTTATAAAAGTAAACTGCAAACAGATCTACTTCTAAGTTTTCATGATTTTCATACCTGTAGTTTAAAAATGATGTTAAAGATAGTTGGCTGGCTGTTGAGGCAAGTCTGGGGTCAGGGGCCAGGGGGAGGGATCTGTACCTGAAGGAGTTGGGATGGTATAGCTAATACTAAACTTTTTACAAATATAGGAATTTGACTTTATCTGTTCTATCCACTCTCATTCAATTCTGCAAGAGTCCTAAACACAGAAAAGAATGATAAGCCACAGCGTGAGGTTGTAACATTAAGGCTGAAAGTTAAATTGCCAAGTGAATAAAAATACAATTTGAAAAGCTAAATGTAATATTAGAAAGTTTCCTGGTCAGTACAACAAGTCAGAATGAGGAGAGCTACATCAAATGGTAAACAAGCTGTATCCTCAGATGTGTTTCTCCCTCTGTGTATTTCCTTCTGTGGTCAAAGGCATCACCATCGAACATGAATGAAAACTGTCCTGACTGTACTCTCACAGTCCCTACATCATCAAGCCCTGTTGATTTGGCTTGAATTGTCTTTGGGATTTGTGTCTTCCTATTCTCACTGCTGTAGGACTTAGTCCTACTACCTGATTCATTGGCATAATTTTTCTAACACATAAATCTGATCATATTACCCAGCTCCCTTCCCTCAACCTCCACTTCCCTTGCTTAAAAACCTACCAAGAATGTTCTCCATTACCTAAGAGATAAAGTAAAAACTCCTTCACCTTTTCAAAGTATATCCATTTATCTTCCAGTTTCATTTTCTATCCCTCTCATGCAGTCTGCACACATCATATATATTAAGCAGATTGAACCACAACTTTTCGAAAATGTCATGGTCTTTAACACCACAACTCTCTCCTCTTGCTTTTCACTCTGTAACCTGGAATATACTCTACAGACACCCTATGATATTGTGTTTGTCCTCAAACAGCCTGATTGGATTTTACTTTTTCAGGGACAGTTTTCACTATTACCTTTAAGAGAATTAATTGCTTCTTCCTTTGGGTTTTCACTAGATTTTATCTATACTCTTTATTTATCTAATGTTTTATTCCCTTAACCCTCCTCCCCTTTGGCAACCATCAGCTTGTTCTCTATATCTTTGGACCTGTTTCTGTTTTGTTATGTTTATTCATTTACTTCACTTTTTTTTTAGGTTCCACATATGAGACCTTGTCTTTTGCTGTCTGACTTATGTTACTTAGCATAATAGCATCTATATCCATCCATGTTGTTGCAAATGTCAGGATTTCATTCTTTTGTATTGCAGAATATATATATATATACACACACACACAAACACATATCTCACTTGCATTTTCTTTATCCATTTATTTATTGATGGACATCTAAGGTGCTTCCATATATCCATATCTTGGCTATTACTACTAATGCTGCAGTGAACATAGGGATGCATATATCTTTTTGAATTAATATTTTTGTTTTCTTTGGATAAATACTCAGGAGTGAAATTGATGAATCATATGGCAGATCTATTTTAAATTTTTGAGGAATTATTGAACTGTTTTCCATAGTGGCTGCACTATTTTACAATTCCACCAACAGTGCACGAGGGGTCCCTTTTCTCCACATCCTCACCAACAGTTGCTGTTTGTTGATTTATTGAGGAAAGCCATTCTGACAGGTGTGGGGTGATATCTCATTGTGGTTTTAATTTGCATTTCCCTGATGATAAATGAAGTTGAGCATCTTTTCATATGTCTGTTGTTCATTTGTATGTACTCTTGGGAGAAATGTCTATTTAGATCTAGTGCCCATTTTTTAAATTAGATTTTTTTGGTGTTAGGTTGTATGAATTTTTTATGTATTTTGGGTCTTAACCCTTTATCAGATGTATCATTTGTGAATATTTTCTCCCATTCAGTGGGTTTTCTTTTCATTTTTAAAAAATATATATATTTATTTTTATTTTATTTTATTTTGGTACGTGCCCCTAGCGGGAACCAGACCTGGGACTCTCTGGTCCGCAGGCCAACGCTCCAACCGCTGAGCCAAACTAGCCAGGGCTGTCTTTTCATTTTGTTGATGGTTTCCTTTGCTGTGAAAAACCTTTTTAGTTTGATGTAGACCTATTTGTTTATTTTTCTTTTGTTTCCCTTCTCGAGGAGATATAGCCAATATTTATACTCTCATAGCACTAAAGTAAATACATGTGTTCATCTGTATTCTCCCTGTTAGATTACATTCCTTGAGATTTTAACTGTGTTTTAGTCATTTTTATATTTGTGGCATTTATACAGTATCTTGTTGTACAACTGAATAGAAAAAAAAAGAATGAATAAAAGGACAAACAACTGGAAGCAGGGTATTTATCCACTCAGTGATTATTTGAACAGTCAAGATGGGAATTAATAAGGAGTTTGGCAACAAAGTGCTTATTGGAAAGGAAGACAGAGGAAACAAAGCGGGGAAAAGGAGATTATTTTGGGTAAGTAGTGGGAAATAAAGTTAGATAAGTAGGGTTGGTATAGCTTTTGCAGATTTTGAAAGCCAGGCAGAGGAACATGTTGCCTTCCTGTAATACAATATTAGAAGAACACTGCATTTGCTTGAACAGAAGATTGATTTGGGGAGGGTGGTACTGGAGTTGGGGAGATGGCTGCAAGACCCAGGGCATAAGGTAATGGATGACACGAAGGACCAAATGTGAGATTTAGGGAATGCAATATAACCTCCAGGAAAGGGAAGGGGAAACATCAACATATGACCTCAGGGTTTCTGCCTTACGGGACCAATAATTAGGAAAAGGAACTGGTTGATCAAAAAAGGTAAGGTGTTTAGACTAGAATATTTGCATTTAGGGGATGCCAAAAATAGTAATTTGAGCTGGAAAAAGATGGTTTGGGAGATCAACCCCCAGGGAATAGGGATGGAATGAGGAGGAAGAGACAAGACAGAGAAGCAGAAGAATGGAAAAAGACATAAAGGGATCTCTGTGGTCACAGAAGGAAAAAGTAGGCCTACTCCTTACTAGTTGTGTTACTTAATGTCATTTGGCTGCAGTTTTGTCATCATAAAAACTGAGACAGTAGTAATTCCCAGCAGGTTGTCAAGGGGATTAAATGAGTTAACCCATGTGAAGCAATTAGATGGTAAGTAAGGGCTTTGTCAGTGCTGACCAAGGGAAGAGAAACTCCATTGCCTCATTCTATTGTACTCCCACCCTCGTTTTTCTCAGTTTTTATTATCTAGTTCTCACTTAGTGCTTAGAATAATTCTTGGAATATTATGGCTTTCTGTAAATGTCTGATGACAAAAGAATGAAGAATAAGAAAAGGTCAATGGAGTAGGCAACTGCTGAGCTCTGTTTTAATAGACTTGGCTTGAGTGGAAATGAGATTTTAGCAAGTTAAGCAGAAAGTGGTAGAAATAAATACAGACTACATGTCAGTGACTGGCAGGAAAAGAAAAATGAGATGTAAGCACAAAAAAAAGCAGAGACAAGGGAGAGTTATGCTCCAATAAGGGATATTTAGATATTGATAATTATTATTCATGTTTTAGTATCCTAGTCCAGTCACTGAGATTTACATTGTCTCCTTGTATTTTTTTCTCTTTCAATTATAAAATGCAACAATTCTTCTGGCTTGTCTTCAGTAATATTACACCATAGGGAAGAATTGTTCTAAAATAACAATAACCTAACAAATTGGTTTTGTATGTTTTTCTCAACAGAATGAGAGTAATATATTTAAATTGTCATGGAAACAATTATGTTGAGGTGTCTGCATTTTTCTACATGTTCCTTATGGTTAATGGTTTACTATACTTTAAAACTTAGCACTTTTAATATTCTATTAATATAACTACCATATTTGAATGTAACTGTAACCTCCTCCCTAAGCCTTTTGGTATTTGCTTACTGCCCAGCCTTTTTGTTTAAGTTCACTCTTCTACTTTATTACCAATGGATATAGTACTAGGTTTCCTTTTATACATTTCACTGAGACTATGCTAGCTCTCATGCCTGAGCAGAGATAGAAGTGAGTAGAGTATGAAGGTGAATACTGCAGCTGGGTTGTGACAATCAGGAATATCATTAGGCTCTCAAATGACAATAGAAATAATAGCTGCTTGAGGTACTGCAAGCTTAGCTCATTATCAGACAGTTTACCTTGTGGTTCACATATTTAAGATTGATGCATCTTGTGCTAACCAGTAATGTATAGAAAGCTAGGCTTACATAAAAGAAATACATTAAGCCATTATTTTCTCCTCCAAAAAATCAGGATAATTCAGAATGGGAAAGGAAAAATTAGTTCAAACTAAAAATGTAAATATCTGCTTGGCGAGGATAACAGAAAAGCCAGCTGTAAAGTTAACAGGAAATAATATTTCTCCCAAGGATATGATGTAAAGTATTAATAACAACCCTCTCTTTTGAGTGTCTCCTTTCTAACTCACTGACCAATTTTGGTTCTCTACAATCATACATGACTAGGAACCTTGCTGTTGAAATTATATCATTAAGAATGAAACACTTGGCCAGTTTGGCTCAGTGGTTGAGAGTGTCAGCCTTCAGACCAGAGAGTTCCAGGTTCGGTTCCCACTAGGGGCATGTACCATAAAAAAAGAAAAAAAGAAAAAGAATGAAACACTCTGCTTTAGCTGGGAGGATTTAAATCACCTTGACACAAAGAAGCAACATCCATTTCCAATGTAGGTGTAAAGCCTTCAATTAAGGGGCTCCTGAATACAACAATCATCTACGGTAACTTTGTAGTTCCCAAGAAACAGGATCCCAAGACTATTCTGCAGTCCAGAGCTGATGCTGACCTCATTAAAGGAAGCAGTGAGCTTTTAAAAAAAATTTACTTAAGTCCATTTTTCCTCTAAATTCTATAAGTTTACTCCTTCATTTATTGAAATGTCCCACGGTTCCTCTGGTGTGCAGTTTCCTTCACTGGAATGGGTCAAAAATCCTCTATTTGACTATAGGTTTTGTCTCCGGTGGTCTTGGGCTGATCAGATTAGGACAAGAGGCATCAAAATCTAGTCCAGGTTCATGTAAACGGAGTAGAAAGTCTTTGTGGGTATTGCAAATTTATAAGAAAAGTGGGGTTCAGCAGCATGAGATGTTGAGTCAGAAATGCCACAAAAATGGCCTGACAGCATTTTACCCACCACTCTAATTGTGATCAGTGTGTGTGTAATACTATTCTCCACCAGAAGGAGCCATATATTTCCTTGAAGTATAGTGGATTCCAGGACCTAGGGCACAGAAAAGTCAAGATTGTCCTGGAACCTCTTGTTGCTAGAAATAAAAAATAAATTCTTCAAAAATACTGTGCAGGCGTAAAGAAAGGAGTAGGCTTACAAGGGCCAGATTGAGGTTCTTGGAGCATCAAAAGGAGAATAATTATAGTTAATTAAACTAAATTGAAACTATGATGATACTTCAAAATGGAAAGAGATAAACTGTACAAAGCATTAGTTGTAAAACAAAAGAATGAAGAATGTATGATAGAATATTTTAATTTTAAAAAGTAATTTCGCCCTAGCCGGTTTGGCTCAGTGGTTAGAGCGTTGGCCTGTGGTCCGAAGGGACCCGGGTTCGGTTCCCGCTAAGGGAATGTACCTCGGTTGCGGTTTGTCCCCGGCCCTGGCTGGGTCGTGCGGGTGGCGACCACTCGATGTGTCCCTTTCCCGTCGATGTTTCTCTCTGTCTCTCTTCCTCTCTCTCCCTCCCACTCTATCTGAACAAAAAATGGAAAAATGTCCTCGGGTGAGGATAAAAATAAAAAAAAAAGTAATTTCAAGTATACATATGTGGTTTTCATTTGTGTATGTATAAGAACACACACAGCAGGGAACTGAATAATTCTACAAGTGGGAACTGCACCAATTACAGGAAGAGGTGATTCACATACAACCAGGTAGAGGGAAGGTCCAACACTGTTCCAAAATGAGATTAATCAAATGTGTGACTCTACAAAGTCAACTGTGGTCTCCTAGGAGCCTCTCCTAATAGTAATGTGAGATGGCATGCAAAATTTTCCAATAATGTTAGTAGACTAGATGTATCTGTATGTATATCTAATGATAAGATAATAGTGTATAACATTAACCAGTCAAATCTCTTAAAGTCATTTTGGGAAATATTCTACAGAAGGTGTAGCCTGCTGGGCATCTCAGAATCTTGTACCGCTGTTTCTTTGAGGTATGAGGTACGTTTATAGTATTTTAACAAATCTATGTCTCTTGAAAGCTATTCATTTTTGCCAATAAGTGATTTATAACATTAGCAATTATTTTTTATAATTGGTATTGCTAATTAATATCCTCTATTGAAAGAGACGATTATAGAGGTTAAAGTAAATGCCTGTTGACATGTCTAATATTTTTGAAGCCCTTTTGTTGTGCGAGAATCATGTAGTTAGAATGTCTGGCTAGGTATATATAATCGATGTTAATTCTGGTGATAAGGACATGGGCACAAGACTTCTGAACAAAACATAATATAAATTATGTTAAGTTTAAATAAGCAGTAACAGCTTTGCGCAGTGGCATTATCGCAGCCATTGAGGTTTATCCCAGGCGCGATGATTGCTAATTGAAAATAAAAAATAAGCAGTAACAATGGAAGAGAATGAACGAGCTGGAAGTTACAACGTTGCCGAAAGTAGTTTCTGTTCGTTTATGACCTGTGGGAGTTTCTACAATAGTTTTGACAACCGTGAATCACTAAGTCTCACCGCAAATCCTTCTTTGCTGTCAAACGCCTTGGTGAGGACTACGATTCCCAGAAGGCAACGTTCCGCCCCAGACTGCGCGGCCTTAGGGAGTTGTAGTTTACAGAACGACGCCTTTCGATCGAGTTTTACGCACTTGTTAGCAAGGATTCGGGCGTAGGGTCCCCTCTTCCATCGCGTGGTCTCCTTTTCGGGAGTAGCACGTATTTCTGAGCTGAATCCGTGTGTCTGGTTGGCCGGGAAGCCAGCGGCCAGCCGGCCGGCAAGGCGCTCTAGGCCTTCGTCTCTATGACCACAGGAGGCGGTCCCGGGTGCTCCCCGCGGGCGCGGAGGGGCGCGCGTCAGTTCCGCGAGGGGCTGTCGGGGAAAGATGGCCGCGGCGAGAGGTGAGGCCGGGGCCGCTGGGACGGGGGAGCCCGCGGGGGGCGGTAATAGAAGAGCGTCAGCGCGTGTCGGCGCCTGTCGGCGCCCAGCACCCTCAGCGCCCGTGGGGCTCCGCGGCCAGGCTGAGGCGCCGGGCATAGGAGCTTGGGGTGCGCCGCTCCCGCTGAGTCCGCGCCGCCGCTTGTCTGGGAAGCGCGGGGCAGCCAGCCTCCCACTCCGCTGTCTTTCCCGTGGCGGTCTCTGCGTGGGACAGTCCGGCGGCTCCAGACCGCGTCGGCCTTAAGGAGCTGGTCGTGGGTGGGAACCAAATTCAGACAGGCCCCTGCTGCGGCGGCCCCAGAGCGGAGCCGGGCCCCAGCGAGAGCAGGACCGTGCGCCGTCTGGCCCAGGTCTGCGTGCCTGCGGTCTCAGACGCGCCTCCTGCCCCCGAGAGCCTCTGAGGCTCCAGGGCATGTTCAGGCGCAGAGCCTTCGCGGCGGTTGGTCCGTGCTGCAGCCAGTAAAAACATCTTTGGGGCTTCCAGGCGGCACTGAAACAGCAGCGAGATGGAGAAAGCAGTCGTTAACAGAGTTCCTCCCAAGCACAATCTTGTATATGGTTAGAAGGAGCACTGATAAATTGGGTGGAAGGTGAGGAGACCCACCACCTTCTTCGCAGGAATGGCACATTAGAGTGCTATTTAATGACTAATTGCCATTTCCTGAGGCTCAGGCTGAGTCTGATGAACACCCCAGCCCTTGTGATTTGCTGAAGAGGGTAAGTTAGGACCAGAGGCTGAATTTCTGGACGGTGGAGCAGTGGCTAGGAGAGGTTGGGTGACAACCGATTCTTTCTTCACCCTGACCCCGTAGAGCACATTGCTTCACCTCTGAATAAATGTTGAACAAATATTTAAAGAATATCATTTGCATGGGTGCCGAATTAATTTCCTGGTTGGGGAGTCTGCATTTAACATGTAAGCCCTGCCCAGGATTATTGTCTTTAGTGTCATATACTTCTTTTATGCATTCTCCCATTTCAAGCAAGTCCAACCTTAAGAGCCTTTTTTGTAACAACACAGAAAGTAAAGGAAAAAAAGAATTGTTTTGATAACTAACACAATGGAAACAGTAAGATTAATGGGTGAAACTTTAAAGGGGCCCAAGCCATTATATGAAATAGTTGTAACAATTATCGGTTTAGGCTATTGCCAGTACATATTTGTTGTGCTTTGGTCATATTATAAATCTTTTATGCCATCTAGAAATGTATACTCCTAACAAAATTGCAGTAGCCACAGCTTCCTGACATTCACAAAGGACTTATCTGGAACTTCCTAGATTTCCAAGTTCTTAGGTGTTACAAATAATGACCCCTCTAAAATACAGTAAAATATTACAACAAAAAAACTTAAGACTGTAAATTTCTTTTGGGGAACATTTTCTGCACAGAAAAATAATGTGTGGGAGCTAGTGGGAACTGTGTGAGAAACAAAACAATGCGGATGTGTTAATGTGCCAGTGTGCCAACTCAACAGTCAGTGTGGGCTCTGTTTACAGTTGTTGGCCTTGGGCACAATGTGAATGCTTAGAATTTACAGTGAATACATGACATGAACTTTTTAAATCAAAAGTTTTTTCTTTATTTATTTTAGAGAGAGGAAGGAAGAAGGAGAGAGAGATAGAATCACTGATGAGAGAGAACATCAATTGACTGCCTCCTCCAGCATGCCCCCACTGGGGATTGAGCCCACAATTGGGGCATGTGCCCAGACCGGGAATCGAACTGGCGACCTCTTGGTGCATGGGTCGACGCTCAACCACTGAGCCACACCAGCCGGGCCATAACATGAACTTTTGATTTTACCTTGAAAAAATTCAAATAGTTAATAATTGAAATTTCATACTGGAGAATTTGTGAATAGAGTGAAGAACTATTGTGATCTAATGTTAAACTGAAATTAGAGGAAATAATGCTTAAAAGCATTAAGTATATTTTTTTAAAGTTTATGTTTTTAAAATGGTATTCCATATCAAAGTCCTATATGTTTTACATGGTCTAAACTTATATATTTGCTCTTCCATTCAGATCAGTTGTTATTTTCAAGAATATAGTATATATTCCTATATAATCACTATGCAAATAGGTATACTTTCAAAGTCAATGGCAAGGATAACTATAGGTCACAAGATACTTGTAGGCTGTAAATATTTGGTTTAGTGTTTAAACATTCATTGTGTTGTTTTTGGGATAGTTTTCAGTTTGGCAGTCCTAACCTCTTTCATTTATGAAAGTGTTGATACTCTAGGACGTGGGTTGGCAATTTTTTTCTGTAAAGAACTGGATGTCATTACTAGTCAGTTCTGCTATTGTAGGGCCAAAAAGTAGTCATAGAAAATTTGGAAACAAATGAGCATGGCTGTATTCCAATAATGCTTTATTTATGGACACTGAAATTTGAATAGTATATAATTTTTTTTTTTTTTTTTAATCCTCACCTGAGGATATTTTTCCATTTTTTGTACGGATAGAGTGGGAGGGAGAGAGAGGAAGAGAGAGAGAGAAACATCGATGTGAAGGGACACATCGAGTGGCTGCCACCCGCACGACCAACCAGGGCCGGGGACAAACTGCAACCGAAGTACATGCCCTTAGCGGGAACCGAACCCGGGTCTCTCTCGACCGCAGGCCGACGCTCTAACCACTGAGCCAAACCGGCCAGGGCTATAATTTTTAGGTGTCAAAAAAGTGATTTTTAAAGTTTTTCCCCCAACTATTTAAAAATATAGAACTATTCTGAACTTGCAGGCTGAATAACAATGAGAGATGAGATGTAGTTTGCTCACCCCTGATCTAGAATATGGGAAGTGCTTTCTCCTTTACTGAGTAATTAAAGGTTATTGCTATTTATTTTTGAAGTAATATACTTTTCCCTCCCTTGTGTAGAATAGTTTTAGAACAAAGGGAGTATTGTAGCTAGTGATCTTCCCTTTATATAAACATTGCTATTTGGCTCCTCAGATCTTTTGGAAAGAAAGTTTAGGCAGATATAAGCTCTGTTTCTTCTGTTCTACCACATTAATATCTGATATAACTTTAAAAACTGTCTACAATTTACAAATAATTTAATTACTCCCAGGGAAATATTTATATTGAAGAACCTGTAACCTTGAAATTCCTGCTTATAGATATAAAGATAATTTATTTGAAACTCCTGGCTCATTTCCCTACCAAAGCCATGTTTGAATTGTGTTTAGGCTCCCAAAGCAATGAGCAAAAACGTACTTAGTGCAGTAGCAGCCCAGAGTCACTCCTGTCCATCTGATCTTCACCCAGTTGTCAAAGTATGGCCCACTGGCCAAATCCAGCCTGTCACTAGGTTTTATGGCCCATGAGCTAAGACTGGTTTTTACAGATGAACATTTGCAATTGATTTTCTAGAGCACTAATTCTGAAGACCAGTGAAGCAAAATGTTAACCGCTCAAAATAATTCCATTGTTCTCAATAGCAGACCTATATTATAAAACACTTTATTCAATTATTGTATCTTGAATTTGTCAAAAAAATTTGTTTTCTCTCTTGTACTTAAGTGCCCTGTATGATATCATGATATTCCTGATTTTACCTTGTAGGCTGAAAAGCTTAAAATATTTACTCTTTGCTCTTTATAGAAAAAATTTGCTGATCCTTGTGTAATCTGAGCCTGAAGATTTGGGAGGTTAAGGATGAGAGGTGGGAGGTTTGTATAAAGAAAGTAGAAATAGTTTGAGCCTTGTGTGATGGCAGTATCAGTGCTGGGCTGGGAGTAAAGAAGTATGAACTGAGGGAGACCTGGTACCCCAGTGCCTGGGGTTTTATTGAAGCTGTTGGACCCTGGTGCCTGAGTGATGGCTGCTGCTCACATGTACTTGCAAGCAGTTGTTAAATTGAGTGTTTATAAATTGTACATACCCTGCATTTCAAGTTTTATAGGTGTTTGTTCTTAATACTTTTTTTGAGTTATGATGTATTTTTCTCTATAATGCTATGAAATGGGAGTTTACATGATATGGTTTTTTATGATAAAGTTTTATATTAAGCTCCACTTTTATCACTCAATTATTCCTTTTGTTTTCTTTCTGCTGTCTTTAAATTTAGGATTATACATTGCTATAATTGTTTTCATCTTGCTTTCATGCTTTGCTTTCACAAGTTTGACTTATAAAGATATATAAAATAGGTGATTTATAACATCCCAAACTAGAGTCAGTCTTGCAATTGAGGCATTCCCAGGAGCAAAATCAGTGCCTAATGAGTAGATATTCAAAGTCAGCTGTGTCTTGTGTATGTATGTATGTTTATGTCCATGTAATTGGAAAGTGTTGTTTTGAAGTAACTTTTTAAATATGGGTTTAAAACATTTTGTGCTTGAAATTGGAAAGCACAGGTATAATGTTGATTAACTTATATATACATTAATATTGTCTACTAGATAATATCTTTGTTGCATCTATTTTCCAGAAAATGTCAGCTTATTATTCAAGTTATACTGTTTGACAGTGATGACCCTGGTGGCTGCAACTTATACCATAGCTTTAAGATACACAAGGACATCAGACAAAGAACTCTACTTTTCAACCACAGCCGTGTGCATCACAGAAGTTATAAAGTTATTGCTAAGTGTGGGAATTTTAGCTAAGTGAGTATAATTACTTATTAGTGTGTTAAATTATTTTTCCACTTAAGGTATTTTCATTATTAGGAAAAAATCAAGCTACAGTGTTATATGTTTGGTTGATCTAGAGCAGTGTTGCTCAACTTGGGGCAGTTTTGCTGCCCAGGAAATATTTATGGTTGTCCCACCCTGGGGGATGCTACTGGTATCTGGTGGGTAGACCAAGGATACTTCTAAACATCCGACGGTGCACAGGACAGCCTCCACAACAGAGGATTAGCCAGCTTCAAATATGAGTAATGCCAAGAAGTCAGAGGAACTCTGCTCTAAAGCAGGGGTTAACGAACCCTGGCCCATGAGCCAAATCCAGCTTGCTGCCTGTTTTTGTTGCAGCAGAGACTGTATGACTCACAAAGCCTAAACTATTTGCCATTTTGCCCTTATAGAAAAAAATTTGCTGACCTGTTTTAGAGGATTATGATGATGATAATAATTAACATGTCTTGAGTGTTTCCTGTGTTAAGTGCTAGGCACTGTGCTGTGTGCTCTTCGTTATCTCATTTAATCTTTATATTTTTAGGTAAGTACTATAATTACCCCTATTTCACGTGTATAGCATCTGAGGTCCTCAATATTACATATGTGGCAGCCCTGGGCTTTGAATCAGTAATATCATCCAAGAATCATTTTAGCTAAGGACAGCGTAAAGGAGAGTTAAGAATGGGGCTTTTGAATGAGACAGACCTAATTTTCATCCTACCCTCACTGGGATTATGACTTTACATATATTTCTTACCTCTCTAAGCTTTAGTTTCTTCATTTTTAATTGGAGAGGAAAATATATGGTTGTGAGAATTAAATAAAATTCTGTAGGAAATTGTTTGAGATTTATGATATGGGAACCTATCTGGGTCATGTGGGCAGGTGAGACTTCATACACGTTTCAAGATGTGAGTTGGTGAGAGTGGGGAACCAATGAGGAATAGCGTGTGTCATCGTTTAGGTAGAAAAAAAAACAGTTAAATTTCATTTAACAAATATTTATTAAGTGATTTCTATGTGACAGTTTTATAATAGGTGCTGAATGTACAGGTATGAATGAAACAAATATGGTTCCTGCTTGCATGAAACTTAGGTTTAGTGGAAGAGACAAAATCAGTAAACACACATATCATGTGGGAAAAAAAATATTGTAAACATGGCTTAGGGAGGGAGAAAATAGCAGAAAAATAACTTGAGGCCAGAAGGTGGAAAGCTTTAATATATTTCAGTTTAAAATTTATCTCATAGGCAGAAGTATTGTGGTATTCTAACTTGTTAGGTTGCAAGAAAGGTAAAATCTCAGACCTTTTCAGTTCCTTACTTTCCTAACAACAGGATTCATTGTTACTGATATTTAGTTTTCATTAAGGGATTCTTTATTTTGGATATCAGCTGACTGAGAGGCCTTATTGTACCTTTAAAAGGAAATGTTCCAAAGGTAAAGTCTCTATGTTTAAAACTTCAGAACAGTTTCCATATAACAACCTAAGAGTTCATAAATCAATAAAATCTTAAGGTCTAACTTCTTTTAAGACAAATACAGGGTTGTTGGAAGAAGAGGGACAGGGGAACACATTTCTTCTCTTTATTTCCTAACTTCCTTAGGGAGAAAAACATGTGACTCAGGATTGAAATAGGACTGTCAAGCATGAAATGAGCTATTTTGAACTGTAAGAACAAATCATGGTCCAGTTGTTTTGTGACTGTCAAAAATTTAAAACTAATGTGCAAAAAAAAGCAATGAGGCCTTTGGTGTAACTTAGCATTTGGGCTAGTCATCTGCCAACTCACCTGCATAGACTTTTTTGTTCTGTCGTGAAGTTTTTGGGTATGTAGTATTTCTTATTCTTCAGCTATTCAATGTCATGGGTATGGTCAGTTATAGTTTGTTTTGTGGAAACTTTTTAAAAAAATTATATTAAAAGCACAAAAATTTCTAAAATTCCCCAGACGATTCAGATAATGGTATTGAAATAACAAGTGTGGAAAACCAATTACTGTACTACATCAGCATCATCAATAATTAGTTGCTGTTTCTGTCACCAGCATAATGTAGAGGCTCACAAAAGAGGCTCTTTTGTGAACATTTACCTGCAAAGTACACAAAGACCACGGACAATCAGGAAAAATTAAACAATTATGATATACGTACAGAGTTTTGGTGGTTGGTATTTCACATTATGTGGCTAACAAGAATTTGGCTGTGAAGAAGAATCATTTAAAACATTTTAAACACAAGGAGTTTATAAGTGGAAAAAGTACTGGAAAAAATGTATAAAACATGAAAAGTGAAATACATTTGAAATTACTGGATTTTAGAGTGAATATGATTTTTATGGAGAAATATGTTGCCAAATTATGCACTTAAAACACATTGGTAGCAATTGAATAACTGCTATTCATAACAAAAAATGTATTTCTAGGAACAAAGAGTTTAAAGAGGGCATCTGTGAAAATGTTAATTTCCTGGAATGATGAAAGAGTGAAAGATAAAGGAGAATTATTTTAACTAATGAGGTCACAGATAGATTGGTAGCTACAAAATGAAATGGAAGAGTGTTGTGATTGCTTCTTCAGCTTCTTCAGCAATATGTGATGAAACAATTGATTTAATGAAGCTAAGGCACAGCTACTAGTTTGGGAAAGATACCCAGTGGAAGTGTTGAAAGTTGATTCTAGATCTTGAGATGACAGTTGGCTCGTAATAATTCACCTGAAGCAGTTTGGAATAGGGAAAAGATGAATAAAATAAATGGCCAGACTGAGTGGGCCACTAAGAGTGAATTGAATAGTGAAGAGTTGCAGCAAATTAAAAGCCAGGAACTTTACATGTGCCTTTTCTATTTTGTGGTGTGAAGTTTGCAACAAAGTAAAAGATTTTCCAGATATCCTCCATGCTGTCATTTCTTTGTACACATATTAAAATTGATAATTAAAAAAAATGGATCAAAGGCGAGTAGGATATTATATAGTTTGTCAAAAACACACGTTGGATGTCAGTGCTGTATTTGCTGTGATGGAGAAACTTCTAAATATCAGAAAATATTTGTTAATGGAAAAATTTTTTGAATTGATTTGTTACACACAGTTAAACAAAATTGATTTCATATTTGAATTTATATTTGTTTGAAAATTCTTTACCATATAGTGTTAAACTAAGTCTTTCCATAAAGCTAAAAACATGAGATTAGACTTTCTTAAAATCTTTGTTTTCATAGTAAGAGCGATAATTTTATCATCTGAGAGAAAGGGTAATTTCTGGATATATTGGAAATAACAAAAAGCTTAGAACTTGAAAAACCTCTTCAGAGAAGACAAGTAAGATGTACTTTTTTTTTTTTTTATTTATCCTCACCCGAGGACATTTTTCGATATTTTGTTCAGATAGAGTGAGAGGGAGAGAGAGAGAGAGAGAGAAACATCGACGTGAAAACGACACATCGAGTGGCTGCCACCCACACGACCCAACCAGGGCTGGGGACAAACTGCAACCAAGGTACATGCCCTTAGCGGGAACCGAACCCGGGTCTCTCCGGACCGCAGGCTGACGCTCTAACCGCTGAGCCAAACCGGCCAGGGCAAGATGTACTTTTTTTTTTTTATCCTCACCCGAGGACATTTTTCCATTTTTTGTTCAGGTAGAGTGGGAGGGAGAGAGAGGAACAGAGAGAGAGAGAGAGAAACATCGATGTGAAAGGAACACATCGAGTGGCTGCCACCCATACAACTGACCAGGGCCGGGGACAAACTGCAACCGAGGTACGCGCCCTTAGCGGGAACGAACCCGGGTCTCTCAGGACCGCAGGCCGACGCTCTAACCGCTGAGCCAAACCGGCCAGGGCAAGATGTACTTTTTGATGATTAAAATAATGCACTTTTCCCATATTCCAAGGAAAATAAAGTTAATGTAAAAATTAGATAATATATTACCAAATTTTGGTTTCAGGATTTTAGAGAACAACAGGAAAAGGGAAATAAACTGGAACTACTATTTAAATGGAAAAAACTATTGAAGTAAATTCTTATTCCCGTCTTCCCACTCTTTACCCCGTGATAAAGTATAACTTTACAGAGTTGATGCAAATATTATTGCAGAATTTTTCTGAACTATGCAAAGCTTGACCTCATGATAGACCAACCTGTTTGGCTGCTTACTTAGTATGGTCTCTGTAGTAATGCTCTTTGCTGAGTAATATGTTTAGTCTTGGCTAATTGTTAAGGTAAGTACATGTCATTTTATACTATGTGGAGATGGGGGCAGATACTCAGGAAATTATTTAAATTTGTAGTGTTGCTTATAAAGTTCACCTGGGATAGTCAGTTTCTTTCTCTTCTCTCCCCCTCCCCTCCCCTCCCCTCCCTCCCTCCCCTCCCCTCCCCTCCCCTCCCCTCCCCTCCCCTCCCTTCCTCTTCCTCATTGTTCCAGAAGTAAGCAATGTATTATTTAAGCAAATAATACATTGGTGATGTTAAGGATAAGTAGAGGATGCTGTAAGTATAACAGAGGGCCTTCATTTGAACTGGAGGGCTTTCCTTCTGAGGATGTTACATTTAAACCTAGACATGAAGATTGAGTAGAAGATAGGCAAGAAAAGAGCAGAGAGAAGTCCCTGAGTTTTAAAGAACAAATTAATGTGTCTGGAGTGTTGTGAGAGGGGAAGTGGTGGAGGAGAGGTCAGCAGGATATCAAGAGCAAGCCTATGGGCCTGTGAAGGATTTTGGATTTTATCTCAAGTGCATTAGGAAGCCATTGAATGGTTTAAATCAGGGACTAACTAACATGGCCCATTTTACTTTAAGAGTCACTTTAACCCTTTGAAGAGAATTGAATCAGAAGAGTGCAGGAGTTGGAGGTTAGGAAGCTTATTAAAGGCCAGAGATAATGATGAAGATAATGGATTTATGTTTTGGAAGTAGAATCTATAGGACATGGGTGATGGTTTGGATACACAGTTGATTCTTATTGTTTGCAATAGTTATAG